AACAACACGTTTTTAAAATTTAGCCACACACACACACACACACACACACACACACACACACACACACAGTAAATTAAATAAACAAAGAAGAAGCCTCTGAAAGAACAACATACCGCTTCTGTTGTATGTGTGGGAGGGGCTGTTTGTGTGTCAACAACACTTGCATTTTAAAATCAGTTTTTCTCCTCATCGTCCATGTTTAAGGCCTTTTTAAATAAACCCTTACTTTGAAAGGGTGGGGGGGCGTGATGAAGAAGATGATGATGCAGTCCTGTCACTCAACACACAACGCCCCGCCCCTCTCAACCAAGCCCCGCCCCCTCCAACCAGCAACAGTCCTTAAACAGAAAGGACAAAACTTTCCTGTCTTTGTCGCTCCGTCCGTTCTGTTATTTTCCTCCTCCTCTTCTCCACCCACACACTCTGTAATACTCAGTTCATAAGAGTGCCAAAATAAACAGTTTGTTGTTAACATAGTCCTGATTCACTGTGTGTACTAGGGGGAGGAGTTGGAGTATATAACTGTCCTCTCATGGATGGGGGCGTCATCTTTTTTTCAGTCCAAGAGGATTTATTTTGTAAATACAGTCCATGTTTTCCTTTGTGTATTTCTGTAATTTTATCTTTTGAAACAGCCAAGAAGCCCCACCCCCTCTTACACGTCACACTCATTGGATACAGTCCAGAAGCCCGCACCCTGCTCGACAAACCTGCACCACCTTTTCAAAGAGCAACAACAGTCTGCTGGTATCCCTCACTCTCTCTCTGTCTGAGGTCTACCTCACTCGCCCCTCCCTCAACCAGCCTTTCCTCGATCAGTCCAGGCAGTGACGCTTGTCCTTTCTGCTTTTATTCTGAAAGGGTCAGCCAACATTTTGTTTATTTTTTAACTTCTGAGGTACAAAACTCCTGCAAAAAAAGAGAGCTTCAAAGGAGAAATTTGGCAACAACAAGATTTAGAAAATTCACTGAAATCTCAGCCAGAAAACCTTATAAATAAGCACAAAACAAAACTCAATTATATATGATAAAATTATATTAAACTGAAATTTAAATTAAAATATGTAGCTTGTTGCTTAACTTGGTAAAAACAAGAACTTAAAATTAAATTATGGGTTAAACTGATAATGAAACTTATAATTTAATTAAGAATTAGACTTCCTGTTAACGAGCATCACCCCACTGAGGACTTAATTTCCTGCCTGACTTTTGTTTTTTAAGACTTCAACCAGAGACACAGGGCAAAGCCTCACTTCGGTGGAAAACTCCAGACTGGAAAAACCATAAAAACAACCGCAAAACCAGCAATGCTAGCCACGGGATCGCTAGCCGCCGGTTATGGGCAGCAGCCGTCTCTGTCGTCTGGCAGCAGGTGGCGCTGTGGTCGCAGCAGGAGAGGAACAGGAAGCAGGAGGAGGAGCTTGGTGATTGGCTAACCTTCCCGGTTCACGCTGTGGTGGTCGGCCTCGAGGCTGCGGCTCAGATGGCGTCCGACGTTTGTGACGAACACGACGAGCCACCTGGTGAATGTCCACACTCTCGTCCAATGGAAAAAGGGCACAGAGCTGAGCACCAACGTCTGGTTGAATTTCCTAAAAGAGATTTAATGAGCTTTAACAAAAATAATGAACGCATTTCATCTAGCTCAAGACAATCATTAAAACAGAATCAGAAAACGGGTGAGCTGACCTGTCCATCGCGACCGATTTTGACAGGCTTGTGTTCGTTCCAGGGGTTGGTCAGGTGAGCCGTCTTAATGAAAGGTAGGTCCCTCCTGTCGGGGAGAAAAAAAATAAATCAATCAATCAAATGAGTGTTAAATCAAACCTGACTGAAGAACTGGAACAGACGGATTATGCTGTACATCAAGAAAGAAACACTTATTTGTATAGCACCTTTCTAAACCAAAGTTACAAAGTTCTTCACAATTCAAACATAACAATTAACCATCTTGCCCAAGGACACTTCGACATGTGGACTGCAGGCACCGAGATTCGAAGCTTCAACCTTCTAGTTGGGAGACGACTGCTCTACCCACCACACTGTCGCCTCCCTTTAAATCCTAGCATCCCCGAAGTTCAGAATCAGAATCAACTTTTTTGGCCAGGTGTGTTGGACACACGAGGAATTTGACTCTGGTACATCGGCTCTCAATGTGCAAACAGTAAACCAGCATAAGGCTGTGTAACGTAACAAAATAGCAACAGTAAACCAGCATAAGGTTGTGTAACATAACAAAATAGAAGTATTAACAAATGTGAAGTCTGTTTCTGCTGCTGATCGTGACCTCCGATGTCGGCCTCCC